ACGAAGAGAAACCCCGTAATAGTCCGTAAAGGTCCGTTGATATAGAATTTTCGGTGGTGGAGCTTCATGTGGACCAACAAGGGCGTAGCCCCCCTTAATTTTTGCATCCATTAACGGATATGCTATACATTAGACGGAACTAGTGTTTAAATTAGAGATTAGCCCCTCATTCCCTACTAATTTGCCCCCCTTCAAGCAATGGCCCCCTCTTGGATTATGCTCAAGGTCCGCTACTAAAGGGTACAACGCCCGACCATACGACTTGGGGTGTCTGCTCCATCTTCGAGCCAAACAACGCAAGAGCGTCGGCTACATTCTTACATGCCCAAGGGCAGAAATCAATTGTAAAAGAGGTAAAGTTTAACGACGTAAAAGACTTGATCTCACTGAAAAGGACTCCGTTATGCGATGAGTCATATCTAGCTGACTTGAGGGCTTGGACGAGGAGCATTGTGTCTGTTTCCACCATAATATGGCCGATTCCCACAACTTGAGTTTATTGGAGACCTTACATGCATGATTCATTTGCCGTGAGTATGTTGACGCTCAAAAGTCGCACAATCATACAGAGCAGCTTTAAGTTATATTAAGACTAATTCAAACTTATGATTGGAGGTCACCTCCGGATGGCTCTCTTTAAAAAGATCGAGATGGATATGAACATTGTCTAAAACGGAGCTCTATGCAATAGTTATGACAAGTTCAGAAATGCTCATGTTGACACCAGATTAAAGAATAGCATGCAACTCAATTAAGATGGTCTCTGATGGAAAACGTTTCAACAAGAAAGTTGTGTGTCTCATCAAAACGATTGATTTTGATATAAAAATCATCCCAATCCAAGTTCGTATGTAAAAGTTAGAGCCATCGAAATGCAGCCCTGCCAGGAGGCAAAATATGGCGCGCCCCACCAGACACGTGTTTGATGGGTAGCGCCACCAATCGGCTTTTTTGCGTGAGAGATTCTTCCCTGAAGATGGATTCCAATCGAAAAACGTTCAACACGAAAGTTGTTCGTCTCGTTGAAATGGTCAAATTTTCTTTTAAGATCATCTTCATCCGAGGTTGTTCGTGGCCTGTTGGACCTAAACACCAAACTGATGTTCCAGACTTATCTAAATCCGAGTTCGGTTAATTTTGAAAAGATTTGGACGTGATTTGGAGTCCTTTTATTGTATGGGAAGTCCATCCACCTCTTATATACCTAAGGAGCCACGGCGATTGAACAACAACACACAATCGAACAAATCATCTACCACTTTTTATCTTTTATCTTTTCTCTTTAACCCTAGTTTTTCTCTTCTTTCTCATTCTTCTTTCGTTCTTCTTCCTGCAGGGCGGAAAACCTCGAGGCCTTAGGGGCGATCATGTCGACCTAGGGCAGCCCATA